AGGATGTAATAATAGCTATGCTTAATGGATGTTTAACAGTTATAATAATTTGTATAAATGTATATTAGATTGATACTAATAATGGAAAAAATATGGAATTCAAAATTATTAGAGAATGTTATCAATGCTAAAATAATAGCATGATTTAGAATAGGATACAAAAAAATCTATTATTGGATATATTGAAGATGATATAATGAATCATCATAATATAAATAGATACATATTTAGAATACCTTGTTTAAAATGGTGAAACAATAGTGATAATTAAACAAATGAAGTACAATAATAATGTACTTGATTGACAATAAGTGATTTTTGATAAAGCTCAAGGGATGACTATGGAAAGGACGGAGAAAGATTTTATAACCAATCGACACACTGTATGTAATTGAAGAGGTTTTTTACGTTAATAGGTTTTGCGTGTTTATGTTTCTTTGAAAATAAAAATTTTATTAAAAAAAAAGAATGGTATAGGCCTGTGATGATGAACTTAGGGTACATGGGCCACAGGTAGCACACAGAGCCCTCCCTACAGGCATGCCAGCCTTCACCCCAGTCCACCTCCACCCTGTGTGCGCAGGTGCCTCCTGGCCACCAGCTGGTCTTTGGGTCTCTGCTGTGCATGCATGCACGGGGGTGGGACGCATGTGGGGGATGCGCAAGCGCATGGGGCTTGTGACAAAGGTGATCGCATTGCATTTTGGGGTTCGCACACCTGCGTGCGCCCCCTCCACACCCCATTTTGGGCCTGAAGGCCGCCTGCACCTACCTGGAAGCCAAAATTGGGGGGACGCATGCATGTGGAGACGGGGTACATGCGTGTAGGGGGGGAGCATGCATGTGGGGGTGGGTGCATGCGTGTGGGGGTGGGTGCATGCGTGTGGAGGTGGGGTGCATGCATATGGGGGTGGGATGCATGTGTGGGGGTGGGGCACATGTGTGAAGCGGGGCACATGTGTGGAGTGGGGCGCAAGTGTGGGGACAAGGTACATGCGCATGGGGCGGGGTGCATGTGCATGAAGGCGGGGCACATGTGCATGGGTGCAGGGCACATGCATGTGGGGCGGGGCGCGTGTACATGGGTCAGGGTGCATGCACGTGGGGGGTGGGCGCATGCATGTGGGGGCGGGGCACATTTGTGGGTGTGGGGTGCATGCATGGGATGGGGCGTATGCGTGGGGGGCGCATTGCATTTTGGGGGTTCACACCCACGTGCATTCGGCACCAAAAAGGTTTGCCATCATGGGTGTAGGGTCTCCTGCTTGAGGAAGCGGTTGGACTAGATGACCTCCAAGGTCCCTTCCAAGTCTATTCTGACTTAAACTCCCAGAATTACCCAGCCCAGACCCCCCCTTAACTGAGAATTTGGGAATTTGGGAGACTCTGGATGGGAGGAGGCTGTCCCAACACGGCTTAATATTTGCTGGGCGACCTCGGGTCCAGTTGGAGAGCCGCAGCCACTGGGGGTTAATGTTCAACTTGTGTTTTCCGGGCAAAGGTTGAGGAGGTGGCAGGGCTGGTTTTCGGCCTTTGTTGACACCTGGCCTCACCTCCTGGCTCTTATCTGCACCTGGGGCTGCTTTTCGTGAGCCAGCTCTCTGGATGTGGGCGTGTGGCGTGGATGGGCATTGTAATAATAAAGAAGCTTGCCAAGGGGCATCAGAGCTATGCTTGGAGAGCCAGTTGGGTCTAGTGGAGTCATGGCCAGCATTTTTGGCACCGAGTGCCCAAACCAGGAGCACTGAAAACTGGAAGACCAGCTGGCCGAGTTCTAGTCCTGCCTTAGGCCTGATCCATGTTAAAGGATTGTTGTGGTGAAAATCGGAGGAGGAAGTAGGAAGCTGGCAGGAATAGCCAACACTCCAGAAGACACACTTAAGATACAGAAGGATCTGGACAAACTTGAACATTGCGCACTATCTAATAAAATGAAATTCAACGGTGAAAAGAGTCAGGTTCTACATTTAGGCAAGAAAAACAAAATGCACAGGTACAGTACATGTGATACCTTGCTCAATAGTAGTATCTGTGGAAGGGATCTTGGAGTCCTAGTGGACAAGCATTTAAATAGGAGCCAGCTGTATCTTAAGTGTG